GAAGGGAGAGGAAGGAGGGAAGCATCAGTAGCAACACATGGACACCCTTCACCCCCTCAACCCCTTCATGGTGAGCTCAAGATGAACCATCCTCATTTCTTGGATTTTCCACCCAAGGATCTAATCCATAGTTTCTGATGCAAGATTGGAAGTTTCTTGCTGGTGGTGGTTCCATCATATGTAAGTAAGTTCAAGAAGTTCTTATCTAGCTCAATCATCCAACAACTCCATGGATTATCCTTTGATTCACCTTTTGGAATGTTTGCAAGAAAGAGTTCATATGAAGTCAAGTCATGCATGGATGGGGAAGTAGGAATGGAGAAGGTTTGGATCTTCAAGTTTTTGGCTACGGAAGCTCTCAAATCCCAGAGCTAAGGATTTCGTCTCAATCTCTTGGTTTTATCTTCATATCTTCATATCTCTAAGTTTGATCCTAAACCTATAGCCACACTTAGCAAAACAAGCTTCAAACCTAGCTACCTTGAGCCCAACAAGCCACCTAAGCTACCCTAGAGATATCTTGCACATGCACAGCATAGATCACAACTCAGCACATCTAAGCTTGAACACCAAGATCACCCAAGAACATAGGTTCTGTCGACCATTTGACGGAGTGTCCGTCAATCCGGTAGAGTGTCCACCAACCCTAGAAAACCACCCATCAGAGCCTTATCTTCTATCAATCTAAGTCAATGGAGTGTCCGTAGTTTCACCAGAGTGTCCGTTGATTTATAAGAGTGTCTAACCCCACAACCCGAGAGCACAGAGCCCTTAGCGGAGCGTCCGTGACCTCTCACAAAGTGTCCGTTGATTTATAGACTCAGCAACCCAGCAAACCCAAAACCTCCCAGTTCCTACCGGAGTGTCCGTTACCTCCGATGGAGCGTCCATCAACCCAAATAGAGCCAAGCCATACCTAAGTCACCTCAAAGCCCAACCCGACGGAGTGTCCGCCACCTTGGTCGGAGTGTCCGTCAAGCTAACAGAAATGATGTAGTTGCCTAGATAGCTTACCCAAGAGGTCAATAATACTAGGATAGGTTTAGTTGCAAATAGTGCAATAGTAGAGCCACAGTTAGATGTCTCCACCCAAGTTTCAAAGCAAGCCTTTGTCTTCAAGTCCCTGTCGGTTATCTTCAATCCTGATCTTCGTCTTCTTTTAGGAGCCGAGTAGCGTGAGGACGTGTGTGTGAGTGGTCGTCTACACAACTTCGAATTCGTTCGAGCGGCAAAACTAGGCAGGCACCCCACTACTATGAACTCTATTTTGGATACTTATTGTGTTTCATTATGAGTTATGCATTTCATGTAGATTTGGTTAATCAACTCAATGATGCTTCACTAAGTTAGATTTTCTCACTTGTAATTAGAGCCTTCTCTTAATCAATGGGTTTGGTAACATTTAATTGCTTACTTGCTTAGCAACGGTAGAAGTCAAGTATGAGAAGGGAACTCATGCTTGCGCGTGTAGGTTGCTACACCGGGTTAATTAACTACTAAAATGAATGAGGGTTACAACTTGTGTATCTTCACTAATCTTGATTAAGGACTCAACCTAATTTTGATACATGAACATGATTATCAATTTGGTAATTCTTTCTCAAGCGAGGGGTAGGTCACTGTGAGTGTGGGATCTCAAGTGACATAGCTCGTGGAGCAGTTAAGGACCGTGCATTGGGATACGTGAGTTCGAGTAACCATCGTACAGACCACATGTCGCAGATGGGGGCGGCAAGCCTAGTAACTAATTGTGACCGGTCTATCCGTGAGACTGGCAAGAAGGTGGCGCTGGTAAGTGGGTGGAAGCACTAGCACTAACCGAGCACCAGTCGAACCTTTCATGAGATATTCGGGCCAATTTAGGGAAAGGTTAGAAGACGTGAGGCAACCCTTACATTGTGCACAAGGTATGGAGGTTAGTCCCGTTCTTTCGTGTGGATACCAGTTGTACACCTCTGCAGAGTTTTGAAAGCCTGAAGTCCCTCAGGACGGACCCCTTTGGTTGTTCCTACTCAATATACCCATGGTAGTGTAATGATGGAACTTGATGATGTTACGGTTAATGATGTTGACCACTCTTTTGGATATCGTACCTTTTAATGCTAATATCTTTAATAATGAACCCATAGCATGTCATCTTAAGAAACGCCATATGCTTTTCTACAAATGTACAAATACCTGATAATACCCTTGCATCCACCAAATATCTCTTTGTTGGACTTAAGTCCTGCGAGTACGAAATGTACTCACAGTGCTACCGTTAAGTTGTTTTGCAGATGTTGTTGCATTGGTGGACGTCAGGTAATGCTCTATTCACTGCTGCATAGTAGACCTTGGATTGGGCGAATCCAAGATAAGCTACGAGTTAACTCCGATAAGAATTCGAGTGAATTGCCGAAGAGTTGAACATAGTGGGAGAAACTAAAATTGTGTATACTCCATGTATCATGTATTTTCCTGTAATAATAATGATCTTGATAGATGGGCATGATGCCGAGTGTTATATGCGTTGGTTTGTCACATGGGGTGTTTGTGTCACTCGACCGTTACAAAGATCCTAAAGTGTCGCGGGCTGCTTGCGGGCGCATGACAAAATAGTTGTCAACTACAAAGTTGTATATCTCATCGAGATCTACAACTTTGGTTTTGGTCATTTTTCCATCTAAGGTCGTTTGTACAATTCAAAAAATTTGAATTTCAAAATTTGAGTGCTTCAAACAAAATTCTGGGACCATAAATGGTTTCAAATGAAAAGGTCATCAACTACAAAGTTGTCGATCTCGTCGAGGTTCATAACTTTTATATAAAGTTTGTTTTCATCTTACTTTATTTGAAAAAGTTATGAATTTATTTATACTGTAGCATGGTTATCACCGCCGTATCATACAACAAATTGGCGGTAAAAATGTCTTCACCGCTGGTTCATATGGCGAGGCGACAGTGATGAGGAGCACATTATCACCGCCGGTTGGTGGTGCAAAGCAGCTGTAGTGATGGACTATCACCGCCGGTTGGTAAGACGAAGCGGCGGTGATAGTTATCAACCCGCACGTTCTTACGAACTGGTGGTGATACTCTCATCATCAACAGTTCGTATTACGAACGAACCGTGATAGCTATGACCAACGGTTTTAATGATACCGACGATGATAAAGGTGTTGGTGATAGGTCAACCTGTAGTAGTGATGCACATATGGGACGACTGTTGGTGTAGTAGCGAGTGCTATTGTGGACATAGGCGTGTCTTTGAAGACGTGTCTCCGCTGGTGGCGACCACGAACGACGGTGTTGCGACCCAAGGAGGCGACGTAGAAGCAGCCCTATTGCTTGGAGTACTCGTGCGGTATTTAAGGACGAACATCATAGGAGCCTGGTGGATCATGCACAATTGGTTGGTCAGACCGAGTTAAGGACCGTCTCTCTATTATAATGAGTCAGAGTAACCATCGTATAGACCACATGTCATGTACGAGTGTCACAAGCAGAGTATTTCGTGGTGACTAACTAATCATGTGGATTCAGCTCGAGATGTAGCTTGGGGTAGCTGGAAAGGGAAAGTACCTCGGCTCATCGTCTTACCGTTCATGGATTAGGACCTTGAGGCAACCCTTATCCGGGCACGGATATGGAGGTTCGTCCTAGACTTTCGTGTGGGTACTACACACCTCTGCAGAGATTTGTTCGAAAGCATGAGTGCCCTCAGACGATACCAGTTGTTCTTACTTCTAGTTTCAGAGTAGCGAGAGAATTTGTGTAACTTTTACTTGACCTATTCATATGTCTATTTGGTCACTTAATTGCTTTCACTTAATAGGTAGCACCTTGAGCACGGCGTATCATGTTTAACTTACACCATGCTTTATGCAATGATTACAAACTCCTAATAATTATTCCCCCTTTGTATCCACCAAATATTTATTTTGGAATAAACCCTATGTGTATAATTTATACTCATGGTACTGTCATTAAGCTATTTTTAGGTGCTATAAAGACTCGGTGATTACTCATGCCAAACTTGAGTGAAGTTGATGGCCTAGCAGAGCAAGGGATGGGAGTCCCTGGGAGCTGCGGTTAACTTTGATGGAGCAAGTATAGCGCGAGTAGACATTAGGACCTGGGTTATGCTTAATAGTTGGATTTGTTAGATATGAACAAGTAAACCATTTGAATATTTCATTTTATACAAACTGTAAAGTTCCTAAATGTTGTTGAGTGCAATTCCTTTGCGCTATGATTCTTGATGGTGGTTCTCGTAGTGTGGTTTACTACAACTTAATCCTACAGTAAGCTGCACTAGTGGAGTTCATTGATGGCGACTCCAGGGATCCTTCTGCGACCGTTGGGTTAGTGCCGTGTTAGTCGACAGGATGACACGTGGTACTTGACGGGCGGCCGGGATGGAGTCCTCGTACTATCGTAGTCATTTTTTTTTGCGCATATCTTACTATCGTAGTCATGATATACTTATAACACTTTGAAGGAGAGCAGGAAAGGAGAAAGAAATTCCAAGAATGTGGTCGCGGAGGTGGGGACAATGGTGATCGGGTAATCAGAGAGAATTGGGCCCTCCAACATAAAGGATGTTGTTGTTGTGTGGCAGGCGGCGGCGATGGCAACAACAAAGCCAGTGAGAGTTAGGATGGAAATAGGGAGAAGAAATTCATGCCCCTTGAAATGCTTGGTTATCTTCTAGATAAGCCTAACACATATTGATTTACCCCATACATCAAACACCACATTCCAAGAAAACATCAACAACAAATGGCTCAAAAACTGGCTGCAAGAAAATTTTATGTAACAATACAATCGGATATACGTAATTACGACGCTCAGTGCTCCAATTAGTGCCTTACAAATGGAACAACTTTGTTGAGTGGGCAAACCTGTGCTGAATCCAGCACGATGCACGGAGTAGAGGACATTGTATACATCACATCGAGGCAAAAAAAAACTAAACTAAACCAAATCAACGAGCACAAACAAAACCACCTTAATTTGTGTTAATTAGAATCTGACAGCATGTGAAGCAGCATGTCGTTCCATGCGTCGATGGGCCCTGGCAGGCACCAGTGGATGCAGTCGTTGTACATCGTCCGCTTCTCGTCCGGCCAGTGCCCGTACCGGCTGGGGTGGCCGTCGGGCCTCATCAGCATCGCGGCGGTGGGGTCCATGAGCACCACGTCCAGGCCCTTGGCCTCCCTGAACTCCTCCAGCTGCGACGTGTAGAACTCCAGCTCCAGTCCTCCCATCGGCGCCGTCTCGTTGGCCCTGTACGGCCTCGTGCGCCGGCAGTCCCCGCCCTTGTCGTAGGCTCCGCCCTCAAAGTGCGACATCGGCGACAGCGTCCGCAGGATAACCTTGCCCCGGAACCTGGCGTCGGCGGCGAGCGCCCGGAGCGCCGTCCGGAACGCCATCCGGTGCGAGTGCCGGTTGGTGAGGCTGCTGGTGAAGTTGAGCGCGACGTACATGCCGCCGACGAGCTGCCGGCGCTCGTAGAAGTAGGACTGGCGCGTGAACCAGTTGGCCCCCGAGAGGAGCACGTAGTCGAACCGGGACGCGACGGACAGCCACTTGTCGTCGGGCTCGTCCAGGTACAGCCTGAACACGCCGGGCTGGTCGGCGACCTCCTCCGACCTCACCAGGAACGGCGACCAGAAGAGGTACATGGTGACGTTGTAGCCCTCGTAGTACAGGATCATGTTCGGGTCCGTCCTGTCCGTCACCGACACGTCCTTGGCCTTCTCCACCTGCAAAATCCACGCATCGCCATGCCCATGCATGAGCCAGCTTCCAACTCAGCTGTAGTAGGCTGCTATACAACGCACCTTGGCCAAGAGGCAGAAGAGGGATTGCATGTGGTTCCTGGCCAGCGAGTCGCCGACGAACGCGAGGGACTTGTTCCGGACGACCTGGAGGAACCTGTGCGGGTCGAACCGCGGGAGGTCGCAGGCGTCCGGCTTCCAGCGCCACTTGAGGAAGTCCAGGTCCGGGCGGCCGTACCGCATGCAGTTCTGGTGCTCCTGTATGAAGTCGCAGGTCTCGTTGGTGTACTGCGGCGAGTCCGGGTCCGGCACCCACTCGCCCCGGAAGATGTCGCACCTGGGCACCACCGGCGCCGGCGCGAGGTAGGAGGAGTGGCTGAGTTCGTCGGTGTAGCTGACCTGCAGGTACGGCACGTTGGTGAAGCAGGAGAGGATGACGACCGCCGAGAGGAAGATGGCGGCCGTGGGACCGAAGAGGAGCTTGAAGCACAGAACCATGTCTGCTCTATCCCTCGCTCACCAGATGACCACACGACTGTGCAGTGTGCAGTGTGCACTGGAGAGTGTGAGCGTCTGGATCAGTGGCGTTTGGCGTTTGTTTAATACGGAAACAGAGACCAATCTTTCTACTCGCGTGTTCCAATGTTCAACGTCTGATCGATCGGAGCTGAGTCACAAAGGATTCATAATTCAGTACTGCTTGCAAATGGAGGATCAAAAGGAAGTTTCTGCAGATCGATCGATCACATGGGTGGAAACTGGAAACAATTATATATTTGCAGCAACTGCTGAGGATCTCGATATGTTTTTAAATGGTTTTTCTCCTCTCGGCACTCGATACCACACATTACATTTACAGCAGCTAATTAATCCTCTTTATATATTTTCTAATGCGGGCAAGTACGTTCTACTGTCAGTGCTATTAATGCCCGAACGGTTATTGTAATCCGATCTCTGAATTAGCTATACGACGAATGTTCAACGATGTCCTTGCTCGTAATTTCTGACTACTACGCCTCCTGAATCATGCACTGCTTCACACGATCAGACTTACTCATGCTGTCAGAAATCAGAATTCAGAACTTTCGGAAAAGAGAACAAATCCTACAATAAGGCTTTGCCTGCACGTCGATCAATCGATCTAAGCGTACTTCACACGCAAAACTGGCGAGAGTGCAAGAAAAACAATAAGGAGATCAACGTCGTTTCTGGCCAATAAGGTTTGATGCTTGTTTAATCTTACCGAGGAGTTGAACTTGGCAACGAGGAGGCTATGTGGAGTCGAGTCTCACGTTGGGGAACGCTAGTTTTATCGCCTCGAGGATTCTGCGTTAGCCCAGCTGCAATTTTTCTTTTGTTCTCGAGCATTTTTATCGAAACAAGAGGGAACCAGTAGACATCGCCTGCCTGGCTGCCTTGACTTGGTTAGTACTGTATTAGCACAAGCTGTTAAAAGTTCAGAGATGTGCATTTTCAATCCAGAACGGCAATGCGGCATTCCCATTGGAAGAAAGAAATTGTACGGTTAACGATGTTTAACACAGGTTTTTTTTACCGGATTCGATGCAAATATCTGTAAGCAAAGGGCACTACTCCCTAAGTTCTAATTTATAGATCGCTTTAGCATTTCTAAATATGAGTGCGGATTTTCTAGGACGGTTGTAGTTGCACAACATTTGCAACATTCAGATGAAACACGTGCAACATCCACTTGGAACACCTGAAACACTTGAAACATGTAGATGAAATAGTTGCAACATTTGCTTGAAACACCCTCTTGCAACATCTGCTTGAAACACATGCAACATCTAGCTGAAACATTTACAACATCTGCTTCGAAACACCTTCGAAATACTTAAAACATGCACTTACTACTGTCGAAACATGTTCTGATTACTATTAAAACATAGGGTGTGTAGCTACATCTGTTGCATACCAATATTTCCGTTCTAAATATGCAACTTTTATTATATATCTAGACACATCGTATATCTAGGTGCATAACAAAAGCTATATACTTAAAAACCAAAACGAACCATAATTTACTATAGATGATGGTACAAAGAAATCGGTTCTCCTGTCAGGATACCTTCTGCGTGCATCTTGATTGCAACTGTAGTATCTGCATTAGGCAAATAGGACGCGGAAGGCATAAGCAGTTAAACTAGCAAGTTGACCCACACAAATAGCTTGAATATTAGGTTCTTCATTCTAACATCAGATTAGTATTTGGTATTTGAAGGTAATTTTATCCATTTGTTTAATTAATTGTAATAGCTCTCTCTTCACTCGTCTTCATGGCGTCTATCAGTATCAACACCATATAGCTATTGTCTACTTTTTTTTGCGAGACCTAGTATAGATGCACGTAAACGTTTATATACACGAATGTACACTCCCCTAGGAAAGCACGGACGCATACACATATTTTTCCTATGAGTACCTCTGAAGAATTGAGTTGTACCGGCAAATCTCGAGTTGCACACACACACACCTTACACCTTATCCACATAGCTCACTCGTCTTCACGGCATCTATATGGCTGTTGCGAGACCCAGTATAGACGTAGACGTCCATATATACACGAGCATACACTCACCCCTATGAACACACGTATGCACACCCTACCCAGCCCATGAGCACCTTCAAAGAGCCGAGTTGGACCGGCAAGTCTCAAGTCGCCAACCGTTGAAAGAATAACGTCGTTAAATCTCCTACAACTAAAAAGAACAAAGTGTGGATAATTTTTTGTGCGACATTTATTTTGGTTCGTCCGTCTGCCCACGCCTGCGATCCCACGACATCTTAATTACTGATTGATCGTGCCATTCTCCTTGATTGAATATTGTCTGTCATGTGATAGAGGAATCACGGCAAAATAGGAAGTAGAAAATTATTGTGCTATCCATATACACATTGCATATTTGCATGCACCAGCATACATGGTAACGAGCAAAAGAAAGGAGAATTAACACAGAAGAAAAGAGAATTAAGACAAAAGGAACATCTTTGTATTTCTGAGAACCTTGCCAAATCTGTCTATATTTAATTACTTCCCCTCTTTGCATTTGTAAAAGGGATAGTTTTTTCCTCTTTTCATTTGGTTTCACGCTCATGTGTTCCATCGCCCTCGCTTGCTGTTTCTTGCGTGAACCATAGTTGATGTCATCCGTCTTCTATGGCTCAGCCTCTCAATCCCAAGAGAAGTTCCCTACCTCTCCCTGACTGAAGATCCGGCCTGCCAAAGGATCTCCTCGAGTCCATCGGACAACGTCTCGCGTCAGGCCACGGCGCGACGTCCTTCTGATCCGCTTGATCCCCATGGCGCGCCGCCGTCCCGTTCGCGACCTTCGGGCCGCTCCTGCTGCTCCCGTTCGACCCTGACTCGGACCGCATCGACTTCTACTGCGTCCCGGAGAAGAAGGTCTTGTCCAAGACGCTGCCCGACGTGCGCGGCAAGGTGCCGTGCGGCTCCTCGTGTGGGTGTCTGGCGCTCATGGACGAGGCGGCGTCCGTGACGCTGCTGAATCCATTCGTCGGTGCCCGTGCCCCCCGCGTTGAGCTCCCGCCAGCAGGCGAACACGTCTCGGCGGCATCCTCATCGGAACGCGTGTCTAGGGTCCACGGCCGGTGGGTCCTCCATCTCATCAACGGCTACGAGGACGCGGATGCCGCAGGCAGAGCCATCAAGCTAGAAGACATGAGGGATATGTTCTTCCGTGAGATAGTGCTCTCAGCGCCGCCTGACGCCGCCGGCCGCGAGTGCGTGGCCATGGCCATGCTTGGGTGCTCCACGGAGGTCGCATTCTGTCGGGTTGGAGTCGACAGCGCATGGACGCTGCTCGACACCAAACTGGAGTTCTCCGTGGGGTCCATCGTCCATTGCCAGGACAAGTTCTTGGCGATCGACTGCACTAGAGAAATCTCCGTCTACAGCAGCAACGCCACCGGTGCTACTCCAACCGTGACGCTGCTGCCATCGCTGTCGCCACCTGCGGGGCTCTGCCACTGCAGCTACCTAGAATCAAACGGTGAGCTGCACATTGTGGGTGCCATGGTGAGCACGTTCCACAAGACACAGAGCTTCACCTATAGCAGTGCGATCTACAAGTGCAACCTCCACGACCGTACGCCGGAGTGGTCCAGGGTGAGGGACATCGGTGATCAGACACTGTTCGTGTCTAAACATTTTAATGAAAAGCTTCAGTGGAACAAGTGTATCCAAGTATAAGGAGAACAAAATCTACATGTCTGAGCCATTGTATGAGAATCCATACGATTTGGTCAATGGACTGGAGATCGTTGATATTGCTACCGGCGCATCCGAAGTGAAGCCCGTCTAGGAAAAGATGCAGGGTTCCAAGGCTCTAGGTTGGATTCGACCAAATCTCTGGAAGCTCTAGAGTTTGTGAGCCTGCGACGCCGCGCACTCCGTGACTGTGTTAAATTCATAAACTTTGTCTTTTAGATTAAATATCACTTTAATGTTGGTATTTAATTTAACAGTATTGTTATCTTATCGTGTGATCCGTGTGTTTTTTGTATAAATTGTTAGTTATCCCGTAGCAACGTACGGACACGCTACCTAGTTCTAAAATAAATCTAGGAAAGTGCAAGTACCTATATCAAGCCAAGGACTTACATTGATTAAGTGGACATGTTTTACTAAAAAAAAACTAACCGATTGAGCTATTTATATACTCAAAGCTATTGTTGTATTTCCCTCATCTTCATTTTATTTCTCACTCCTATCTCGTGGCCGTGAAATTTGTGTCGAGGCCAAATCAAGGTGTGAGCTCCATTTCTTGATAAAACCATTGCTCCCACAGAATTTTCTGTTTCTTGGCCCTATGGTAAATTTAAATTTTGGACTATGCATCTTCTCTTGTAGTGTATCCATATTGCCTCTTTTGCCCTAAAACGCCATTAGACTCATCACAATCTTGCTCATGTCTGCTAGAGTCATTGTTGTATCAAGTAGCCACTAGCCAGCTCTGTCATCACGTCAATGTTCTTGGCACCTCAAATCTCCCTAAAGAACTGTAGGACCTTCATTGACGCGAGTAACCTGCTTATCTTAGTCGATACACTACCCATGCCACTGTTCCACATCATTGTGATCATATTTGTTTAGGCTTGACCTGATGGGTACGGGAGTGTCCAATCTTTCGTCAAGTAAGGGCCCAGCTGATCATTAACATTGGTATTAAAAAAAAACTCGATCACGCAAAAATGTTTGTGCGTCTTTTGTATTAAGATAGAGGAAACATTTCCTCCTTTAATAAAAGTATGTATCAAGCTACACCATTTCTGATAGAAACCCTTTACGGAGAGTCTGTTTGTTGTAAAAGAAATCACATTTTACTTTGTTGCATGACTTTTCAAAGTCAATTTTGAATCATAACTCATTCATTTTCCCCCTATGTAACTCATGTATGGTCTCGTATACAGTGATAGCTCCAAAATTTGAAACTCGCATTCAACAAGCATATAGTAATGTATTACCGAATTTGTTTTGCTTCAATACTCTAGTGAGATAATAGTCCAAAATTCAAACTATGTAAATGGACATTACCTTTATGAAAAATCCTGAAACAGAGCATTCAAATCCCCTTTTATAATATTCTAGAAAACTTTGTAGCATTCCGTGGGTTTTCCTATGTTTCCCATTAATAACTAATTGGAATTACTTAGTATTTGCGGCTCCTTCTAGTAAATTTTTACGAAAATGCTTGATTCCGAGCACGCACGCTCCCAACGCTTGGCGCGCACACCCGCGTGGCCGTCCAATGCGTGCGGGGAAGAAGAGAGACCCATCTGATGTGCTCGATGCCAGAGAAGGCAACGCGCTCGACGCCGGAGAAGACGCTCGATGGCCGGAGAAGACGCACGCTGGGCCGAGCTCGACGCCGCCACCGGAGAAGGCACCGCCCGCACCCACCACGCGCCCGCGCCGTGCCCGCGCCACACTCGCCACGCCCGACGACCGCGACCGCGCCGGCGCCGGCGAAGAAGACGGCGGCGCCTAGGGTTCTGGTGAGCCGCGCCACCCCTTCTTCTCCAACTCTGGCGTGGTATAGAAGGGCCGGCCGGGGGGAGGCAGGTAGGCCCGGCGGTGGGGGTGGTCGATGGGCGGTTTAGGGGAGCTGGCGGCGGTCGTGGCGGCCGGGCCAGGTCGGGGCGGGAGCGCCATGGCCGGAGTTCGCCGGAGCTTGGCGGAGTTTGCCATGGCCGCACGCGGGAGGTGGTTGGGGGAGGGGGAGGGGAAGAAGGTGGTCGCCGCCGGCGGTAGGGTCTCGCCAGCCGCGGGGCGGTGGGCGCCGTGGTGGTGGGAGATGGTGGAGGCGGGGGCACTCAGAGGGTGTCGTTGGATCCAAGTCGAGGTGGGCGAGGGCTTTGTCGTGGAGCCAAAGCCAGGCGGGGTGAGAGGAGGCGGTGAGGGCGTGCGAGAGGAAGAAGATATGACACGCGGAAGACGGAGCCGCACGCGTTGCGTAGCAATATCCAAATTTTTAATATTTTTCTTTTTCGTACCACTTTAATTATTTCTCTCTAAGAACTTGAGCTAATCTTTTGTTTAGGTGGTGTTTGGGATTAAGCTTATCTAATTGACCCCACTCTATTTTCTTACCCAGCTCATTCAACTCATCTGGTACTCCCTCGGTCCCAAAATAAGTAATGTTTTAGTTTGTCCTAAGTCAAACCATTTTAAGTTTGACAAAATTTATACAAAAAAGTATTAATGTTTTTAATACTAAATAAGTATGATTAGATTTATCATGGAATATATTTTCATATTCTATCTATTTGGTGTCACAAATATTGATGTTCTTTTCTATAAATTTAGTCACGTGTCCGCGTCCTAACCGTTCTTCATACAAAGACCGAAACCACATGTCCGCATACAATACGATGTCATTAACGTCCACACGTTCTACCCAGTTTCATCGGATTCACGTGTTCGCATCCGATATGAAGTCCTCAAAACTCATGCGTCCACGTCCGATTAATGATATTCAATCCAAGATGATAAGCAGGTCGCTTCCCCTGTGTAGCAGTCCCTCTTGCCATCTCCTACGATCAATCTGGTGAGGTGAAACTATATTTTTTTTGAGTAAAATACATGTAGGGTCTTAAACTTTTGATGCATTCCCATCTAGATCTTTCAACTCAAAAAGTGACTATCTAGGTCCTCGATCTACTGCTCTCGCACACCAACCATCCAAATCATGCCACGCAAGCACCAGCATCTGACGTGGCAGTGCCACCGTGGAAGCTAGAAGATGTGCCCATGCCAAGGTTTTAAAAAACACCCTGCCTCCTTCCTCTTTACCACTCCCAACTGCTACCTCTATTTCCCACGATGGCGCGTCAGAATGCCGAAGCAGAAACTCGCAGGCGGAGGTGCATGTCATGGTGGTGCAGGACCCACAGCAGGTTGTCGCCACCGTCGTCCCTGTCTCCCTGAGGCTACGTCCATTGCGGGCACGGCCATCCAGCTTCTGGCGTCCAAGAGGAGGAGCGGCGCCGGTGGCGGTCGTGACGGGGAGGCCGCGGCGGCGGTCAAGATCTAGTCGGCCTTCCGATCGTACCTGGTACGTTCTTGGACCGGCCGCATGTAGTTCCCGGTTCCGGCGTTTCTACTCGCGATTTTCGATGGTGAAGCTGCAGGTGGTGGTGAGGGGCCAGCTGATGCAGCGGCAGGCCAACCTGATGCGCCGTGCGGCAGGCCACCAGTCCACCACCACGCTTCGGCCGTCGCCGAGCCGGCGCTCGCTGCAGCACACACGATCCAGGAAACCACGACGCTGAGCCGCACGCCGGTTCGACGACGCGTCCTTCATCTCCGCGTCAGAGCTGATGCCGAGCCGGCGCAAGGCGAGCACGTGGCGCGCGGACCCGCCGTTCTTCCCGAGCTACATGGCCAAGACGGAGTCGTCGGCGACCGAGAAGGCGCTGGCGGCCGCGGCCTCGCTGTCCCCGTCGTGCTGCGAGTGCCCGCTGAGCCGGGGTGGGGGAGGCCGGGAGGGGGCAGCGCGCGGTGCATGGTGTCGCTGGGCCTGCCCGGTGGCGCGCCGTCCCGCGAATGTAGCGGTGTGCATCGTGGGCGCGCACGACGGTCTCGTCGGTCCTCGAGCACCGTCGGGGTCGGGCACCGTGGCAGCGCGCACGCGTCATGGCATGGGTGACTACTGACTTTTGTATCTTCGTCAGTCTTGGCGAGTGAGAAACTGAAGGTGCAGGTGCAGGTGCTGCAGTGTGTTTGATAATAATCATAAACTAGTGGTGATGAGCAGTTCATGTCTTGCTAAGTTGGTGATGCTGCTTGGCGTTGCAGTTCTTGGAGCTTCTGGAGCTGTGCTACTGATCGCTGTGCGACTACGACGACATGCTGATCGCCGACGGCAACCTCTTGGACATCACGCTCGGCTCCGGCACCAACGAGCTGCACGTGCCCAAGGGCACGTCACTGTGGATCCCCGTGCTGGCCATCCACCACGACGAGGCCGTTGGGGGAGCGGACGCGCGCGACGACACGAGTTCATGCCGGACCGGTTCGCGCCCGGGCTCGCGTGGCCGTGGGCGGGGCGGTTCCTGCCGTTCGCATCGGCTCCCGCACCTGCGTATTAGAATCCACGATTTGCTACTCGCGAGCTTCTGCTTCGGCATTCTGACGCGCCATCGTGGGAAATAGAGGTAGCAGTTGGGAGTGATAAAGAGGAAGGAGGCAGGGTGTTTTTTAAAACCTTGGCATGGGCACATGGTCTAGCTTCCACGGTGGCACTGCCACGGCAGATGCTGGTGCTTGCGTGGCATGATTTGGATGGTTGGTGTGCGAGAGCAGTAGATCGAGGACCTAGATAGTCACTTTTTTAGTTGAAAGATCTAGATGGGAATGCATCAAAAGTTTAAGGACCCTACATGTATTTTACTCTTTTTTTTAAATGATGATTAAAGTTAGAAATATTTGACTGTAATAACTAAAGTGAAAAAAGGCCTCAATGGATTTAAAAATAGTTTAGAATTTTCAATACAAAATCATATATTGTTGTTTTTATTGTTTTTATAAATCTGCCGCTATACGTATGGACCAAAATTCGTGGCCCTTGCAACATACAAACAGCTCTTAAGCTGGGCGGGTCAGACTCAAGCCCAAAGCCCCAAACTGACCTCCTTCACGTTATTTTTGTTGGGCCACGCCACAGCCCACTCTGGGTCCCAGTAACACTCTGTTTCAGGACTTTTGAGTTTTGACCTCTCAAAAAGGGAAATGGAAGCAATGTTTGGTTGAAACAGCGGTCATAACTCATGAGAGCTTGCGTCGATCGAGTAGCACTGTACACCATCGAAGTGCATGGAGTTCCGCATGCATCACAGCTGATCCCCTCGCATGCATCGCCGCATCTGTAAGTAACTTAAGCCAGGGAAAGCAACCATGGATGACTAAGGTAGCAAGCTCCCAACTCCCAAGTGAAGTCCAATGCCTTCAAGACACTACCTTCACTGCTCCATCTCCAAAAGCAGTGCTGAATTCTGAACCGCGGCTAAAATCCTACCCCTTTGCCGCCATTTTGCGCTGCATCCGTGCAAGCGTCCATGCACGCCTAGCGAGAGCTAGCTCGCGCGCTCGGCGTGATCGATGGCCCTGCTCACCTCCCTGCCGAGGCCCAGGAAGCAGCGGTGCCCCTCCCACCCGATGCTCTCCCTCTCGCCGTCCCTCCTCTCCCTCATCCTGCTCCTCCCCTTCCTCTCCCTCCTCCTCCTCCACCGCTCCTCCTTCCCAGGCTCCTCTTGCTCCCCGGCACTGGCGAGGGCCGCTTCGCGCCGGGGAAGCGCGGCCGGCTTCGAGGGGGACCTGCGCGACATCGAGTTCTCGTGGAACCACCTGCCGTTCTCGGCGACCAGGCCGCCCCCTGCCAAGCTCAAGATCGCCGTGTTCTCCCGGAAGTGGCCCGTGGCCTCAGCGCCTGGAGGCATGGAGCGGCACGCGCACACGCTGCACACGGCGCTCGCGGCGCGAGGCCACCGCGTCCACGTGTTCACCTCCCCGCCGCCACACACCGAGGCCGCGCCGTCGCCCTCCGCTGACGGGCCTCAGCTCCACTTCCTGGACGGCGAGCCGGGGCAATGGCGCTGCGACGAGGCGTGGAAGCTTTACGAGGCCGAGGGCGAGAACGACCCCTTCGACGTCGTCCACTCCGAGAGCGTCGCCGTGTTCCACCGCTGGGCGCTGGGCGTGGACAAGCTGGTGGTGTCATGGCACGGCATCTCGCTGGAGGCCCTGCACTCGGGCATCTTCCAGGACCTCGCCCGCGGCGAGGAGGAGGCCAGGTCGCCGGTGCTGAACCAGACCCTGGGCCAGTCCGTGTACCGCGTGCTCTCCGAGGTGCGCTTCTTCCGGAGCTACGCGCACCAGGTGGCCATCAGCGACTCCACGGGGGAGATGCTCCGCGACGTGTACCAGATCCCCTCCCGCCGCGTGCACGTCATCCTCAACGGCGTGGACGAGGCGCAGTTCGAGCCGGACCCGCCGCTGGGGCGCGCGTTCCGGGAGGAGGTCGGGGTGCCCAAGGGCGCCGACCTGGTGCTGGGCGTGTCGGGGCGGCTAGTCAAGGACAAGGGCCACCCGCTGCTGTACGAGGCCTTCTCCAAGCTGGTGCTGCGCCACCCGAACGTGTACCTCCTCATCGCCGGGAAGGGGCCCTGGGAGAACCGGTACATGGACCTGGGCCGCAACGCCAAGGTGCTCGGCGCCGTGCCGCCGGGGAAGCTCAAGGCGTTCTACAACGCGCTGGACGTGTTCGTGGACCCGACGCTGCGGCCTCAGGGGCTGGACCTGACGCTGATGGAGGCGATGCAGTGCGGGAAGCCGGTGGTGGCGACCCGGTTCCCGAGCATCAAGGGCAGCATCGTGGTGGACGACGAGTTCGGCTACATGTTCGCGCCCAACGTGGAGTCGCTGCTGGAGAGCCTGGAGGCCGTGGTGGCGGAGGGCGCCCGGCGCGCCGCGCGGCGCGGACGCGCGTGCCGGGAGTACGCCAAGTCCATGTTCGCGGCCACCAAGATGGCGCTCGCGTACGAGAGGCTCTTCCTCTGCGTCAAGAACGACACCTTCTGCGGGTACCCAGCCGACATCGATTGACCACTGTGCATGCGTTTTGCTAATAATTATACAAGTGTCGTACGGTGTTTTTCTCCCGTTTTTGCGTTGAACTCCCAGGTATAGATATTTAACTCGGAGCTCATTTCAAATGAATACAAATGAACAAAAATCTACGATTTGTTTTTTTTATGCATGACTACACAAGTACGCATTCTGAGTTCACTACGAGCTGCCATTTGATGTTGATATGTCTTGTAAATTGTAATGGAGGTCCGGGTTCCAATTCTCAAATATACGCAGAGTACAACTAGGGCCTTGTTTAGATGACATCAAAGTTCCAAGTTTTTTCACTCTCTCTCTATTACATTAATTTTTAGACCCATGCATGAAGCATTAAATGTAGGTAAAAAAAGTAACTAATTGTACAGTTTGGTTGTAAATCACGAGACGAATCTTTTGAGCCTAGTTAGTCCATGATCGGACAAAGTTTGTCAAATACAAACGAAATATGCTACAGTGTCCAGATTGCAAAAATTTACAATCTAAACATGGCCTAGAACTTTGCAAATTGCAAACACACGGATGGAGGTTCAAGTGTACGCCGTACGAAAACTAGCGTAGCCCTTTTCAGGTTGATGAATTGAATGCTTATGTGGCAAGCAACCAAACAGTACAACTGCGTTGACCTGCCGCAGCCACATGCTAGAATGGCTGATTTCCAGGGATGTCTCGGGATTGGCTTTCTAATATAATAGTAGCATCTTGCTCTACGATACACGCCTTTACGGCATCCATTTCAGAAAGTACCGTACTAGAACGACTTTGACTAGGTCAGTTGCAGCTTGCAGTAAGGGGCTGTTTGGCAGCTCTTTGCATCTCCAGCTCCTCAACTCAACTGTAGCGACCTGTAGCATGAAGCCGATGAAGCTGCAAATCGTGGCTTCTCCGGCTCCGCCTCTTTCTAGTTCTTTTTTCTTCTCGGGAAACGAAATGGCTCCTTGGTACAGTGCACACAGTGATGCTACAGGAAAATGAGAGGAGGAGCCGGAGCCACCCGGAGTTGCACCAAAGGAGGCCTAAGTGTATGTGAATTCCATGCTTAATCCTCAAAATGTTTACTTTGGAGCTTGGACAGAAACCTTTGTGATATCAAAAGTCAAAGTGTCGGGTTTTTTTTGCATTTTTGGATGGATGTGTCAAGCCTCGAGGGAATTGGAAAGTAGACAAATTTGCAACCTGTTCGTTTCGGCTGAATTGGCTTATAAGCCATGACTGAAAGTACTGCTGGTTGGTTTGGTGTGAGAGGAAAACACTGTTCAACCTGTGAATTATAAGTCAGATACGAGCGAATAAGCCGAAACGAACATGTTGTTGGCTGTCGCGGTGAGCACATGTTTCATATTCGTGTAAGAAAAACATGTTATAGATTAATATAGAGACTATCGATCATTGGTTCACCTGTAAATACAGATGGCGAAGGAGGTTTGGATGCATCTCACAAACTGGGCAGGTCAGGAGATTACAACAATAGAAGACGGGTCACGAGTGGTCAGCGTACGTCCCTGCAGGGCCACAATGTAAGACAAAGGAGAACAATTGTGATGCTGCTCACGTACACGGTTTATTTGGGACATCTAGAAGGAGAGAAACAGAAGAATCTTTGAAGGCAAACTAAACTCAACAATGCAGGTTTTTAATCTAGCCAAAGAAGAATTGGCTCTCAGGAGAGTTGCTTGTGGGCGGCAGCCTTGCATCCATGGATCAGCTGATCAAGATCTTGGTTCCTGTGATAGTGGTCTTAGTATCTAATGTAATAACACGATGTACTAAACCCGCTTTCTCTTCTTCCTTCTACTTAAATGATATGCAGTGCTCTTGCAAAGTTTCAAAAAAAAAAAAAACGGATGGCCATCAACAGCTCTCGTCTTTGCACGAGGGGCGATCAGCGAAGGGCTTGCTCGCTTGGTTGCTCATATACCCAGCAGCCCGTTGAGCCGCCTCTTCATTTGATCTACGCTCGGGCCCCTCCGAATAGTCGCCGACCACCGCGTCCCTCCCCGTGAGCCTCTGGACGATCGACTTGAAGCTATACCGGTCCGCCTCCACGTGCACCGTCTCGATGATCTTCACCGTGGCCTGCCTCGCTTCGCCCCCTCTCGTCGACATGGAAACAAACCTCAGAACACACGGTTTCTTTTCACGTCGAGGAGAGCAATCAACGCCAGACGCAAAAGCCCGAGCGGCGATCTGCGTCTTCTTATAGCCGGTCAGTGACGGAGTTCGGTCGCAGATGAGAAAAGATCATCAGCCGATATCGCCTAAAAAACTCGAGCCGGATGAGACGTGCAGCCACGAAACCCTCCGTGAACTGGAGTTGCTTGACCGTACGGTGGTAGATACGTGACAGCTGACCGGAGAGTGAAGAGGGTAGGACAGGGAAGCTGCGCGGCTGCTGTTGCGCCACATATATTTCCTCATGTCAAAGTCAGCAATACCGGTCCGTCCGGCCGAGGGGCTGCCGTCCTATTGGCTAGTCAGAATAGTTGTCACTTTGCCGTTGCCTACTTGGCTTTTGACACGCCTCGACCAATGAGATTGACCGATGGAGGGCTAACCAACGGGCGACTGCCCGGAACGTGGTATTTGCTGACCGGGCCGACATGGAGCCTTCGGTATGCACAGATTCTCAAGTAAGATGACCCAACAAGGCATTTTGCAAATCTCAGCACTTACGTTAAATCGGCAAAGGACGAATCAGTCGTGCAAGAAGGATATCGGTGATGCAGCTCGGTTAACTCATCAAGCAAAAATTGAACTGTGGTCCTATCGATTGGTCACAAACAACATAAGCTATGCCCACACAATGACACAAATGGTAGCACGTTCTCACGAGACGCAGACAGCAAATGTACAAGGCTAGCCTGGCGTCTACGAAATCTGAATACCATGGACAACAAATACCTATACCAGTATTGGGGGAAAATTACAGTGGAACGAACGCACCAGCATACAAAAAATTGGCACACTGCTAAAAGAATCAGAAATGTTTTATACACCAGAAACACTGGGTGGAGGTGGCAACGATGCCTCTGTTGAAGATGGCTTATCCGTCAACTCGGGTGCCTCGGTTGAGGGGGCAGAGATGGTAACTTCACTGGGAGTAACAGCAGGTGCATCCGAGCTACTGGTATCAGCCGCAGGAGCAGGAGCAGCCGGAGCCGGAGACGGAGCATCAGGGCTGCCTGCTGCATCTGAAACTGCAGCTGCTGTGGCTTCCTCGTTGACTGGATCTGCTGTGGCTTCCTCATTGCCAGGTGCTGCTTTAGCTTCCTCACTGCTGGGAGCCGCTGTACCTTCTGCAGCTGGGGGAGCTGCAGAGCCTTCTGAAGTGGCGGCAGCTGCATCAGCCACTGTAGCATCTGATGGCTTTGCCTCGTCGCTGCCCTGTGATGGAGTAACTTGATTCATGGGGACTCCTTGTGCCCCAGGAGTACCTTGAGCCATGGGAGCACCTTGAACCATCGGAGCACCTATAGGCCCATTTGAGGCCTTTGCTGCATTAGGGAGGCCAGGTTTTGCTCCGGCCTTTTTAATCACGATTGGAGGTGCAGATAGGGGAGGCATCCCAGGAGGAAGTATTTCAATGGGAGGCTTTTTCTCAGTTTCCCCCAAGCTTGTGAGCTTTGGATCCTCAAGAGAAGCCAAGAATGCTGCGGCGGCATCGGTTTTTACAGTTGGTGTGTGATCCAGTTCCTTCTGTAGCATCTTGTTCCATGTTATAACCAAGTTCCTTAATGATGGACGACCATGGGCCTAGAGAGTTTATTAGGCTAGTGAGCATATCAAAATCATACAAAGTGTGGATAATTTCAGCCAAATAAATAAAAAAAGTGGATAATACAATAACAACAATGGAAGTATGGAAGAAAATGGAAGGACAAAAAAAAATGTGTTATTCCGCAAAACCATAATGGTTTGCAGCTCATTAAGTAGGATTGAGCATGAGAGAATTCAATTAAACAAGAACTTACTTGAGCATGTAAAACAGCCTCAGCCAACATTCCTGTGTCCTGCCATGCTTTCTCCATTAGGGCATTATCTCCCAGAACTGCAGCAGCAAATGCTGCTTCGCGTCCATGGCCAGCTGTTATCAAATTGCTTACCAAACCCTGGTCAAGTACACTGGCGTTAGTGGTTATTCCTATGAATTTGTGGCAATTCAGAGAACAACGTATTGCATTTCCAACAGGTGAAGTTAGACTTAGACATAGTCCCCATGAAATTCTAAGCATGTGCTTGGGCCCATGTTCCCTCACATACATGGGTATGAGCATGTCAGTGTCTCCCAGCATTGCAATATCAAAAGAAAAGGAAAAGGCACAATCCAACACCAAAACAGAAAAGGCAACATACACACTTGAGCATGAATTGTGTCATGCTATATCCCATAAAGCTGCACAAGAAAAGCTCTCAACTATATAATAACATTTTTCTACTCCCTCCATCTGAAAAAGAATACAATTCTAGCATAGTACCGAGTCAAACCATCTTGAATTTGACCAAATTTATACAAAAAAAAGATAAATATTTATGACATCAAATTTCTCATGGAATAATTTTCATAATACACTTATCTGGTGTCACGAATATTGATTTTTTTTCTACAAACTTGATCAAACTTTAGATAGTTTGACTAAGGACAGAACTAGAATTGCATCATTCTTGGGACAGAGGTAGTACCAGGCATTGGTGCTGTTATGAATGAAAATTAGAACTTTTTAATCACCAATACTCATCATGGATAAGAATCTCAAGTTTTCAATGTAAATTATTAGCCATAAATTTGTGGTCAAACATACCGACAATCTAGTAAGCTCCCCATGGTTTGCAAGACGGAGTGCCAGGCCTCGCAGCATCTGTCCATGGAGGGCACCCTTTACAGAAGCTGCAGCCGCTAATCTCTTTAAAACTTCACGAGCAATGTCAGATTGCCCAGTGGCATCTGCTGCATCAATAAGGTCAAAAAACTCCTTGACAAA